AATGTAGTTAGTGATCATCCCTTTAAAGGTAAACACATATTTCATATTCATATAGGATAATATAATAATTGCTCCCAAATTTTTAGAAATAAGAAGTTTTTGAGCTCTTTATAAACCTTGACATATTTTGAGACTCTATATAACACGTTTTATACTTACTGAAAATATGAAGAGTTAACACAAATTTATCTTAAAATTTCAACCTTTTAATTTACAGACCACTCAGCTCAACAATTAGTTAAGGAGTAAATTTCTAATTATGTTTTATTAAGATAACATTCAGGATAATACATTGGACATATGCATATTAACTTACTCAAAGCAATTTTATCTATTAACAAAGAAAGTTAGTAGAATATGGAATTCTAACACTCTATACACGTAAAGTAGTTGATTAGAAACATGACTAACAACTTTTTAAGTTAAATAAATGTTTTGTACATAATATATAATTTGCATTTATACATAGTATACAGGAGAGCCTAATCAATCAATCAAAACAACTTATCTTTATTTTTACTTTTCATTTACTTTCTTGTATTTTATTTTTATTAATAGTCTTTTTATTTATAATTTTAGTTTTTACACTTATTAACTGTCTTTTTATGTTTATTTATAACTTTTTACCTTTATAATTTTCAGTTTTAGTATATTAGAAACTCATAGTCAAAAGACAAATTCTCTCCTTTAATATAATTGTCTAATATCTTTAAAAGAAATCATTTATATTCAATTATAACTTAATCCATATTCACTAATACAATCAAATATATAAAACACTTAAACGTAGTCAATTAATCAACAATTTTTAACCACAAAATAAGTATAAATTTTACTCTACACTTGCCACCCTAAAAAATTTAAAGTTTTACTCTATTACAAATTCCAAAAGTCAAATATTTTTAACTCACTGATTAGCGATTTAAAATTATCAAAATATCTAAATTGTTGATCGGGATTATTTTCCTAATAGATTATCGTAGGATATTTTTTATAATATACACTTACAAATAAATCAAGATATTAAACTGGTTAGTAAATTAGTTAAGACAAAGATTGTATTTAATAATATACACATACATATAAATCAATATATGGTAGAATCACAGTAGGCCTTAAGGAAGGAATTGATTCATCCTATCAATAGTTTTAAGTTAATTCAGTTCTGAGTTTTGACGCTGAAACTAATCAAACCCAAATATTACGTACCCTCTTACCCATACCACTGGCATTTGATATTTGAGAGCGAAACATAACAATTCTTATTTCCTTGTTCTATTTATACATCAATTTCCAACAAATTTGCAAATCTAGAAATGACTAAGAATAAAGTAAATAGAAGTGTTAATTGGATAGACGTTTATTAATAATGTTAATTGACTCTAGAATTTCTATATTGTAACTAACACTCAAGGTATGTCGTCAATGCTAACATTAAATGCCAAAATGCAAATGTAATACTAGAGTAATTCTCCAATCATTGGCTCCATTTTCAACATATCACTCTGAGGTGGTGCCTTTTTCTCATATCCATTTATGCAACTATTTCCATTACTTTTCTAAGTATCTGGGCTTAATCATCCCAATAGAAGGTACATGCCCTTTCACACAATTTTTTTAATTTATTTTTTATTTCTTATTTAATTTTTTAACTGTACTCTAAAGATATTAATTAAAAATAAATAAATAAATATTTAAATCATATTAATAGTATTTTTTTTAAAAAAATTATTAGTTAACATTTACCTTCTTTTCTTTTTCATGAGAGAAAGAATATATTTATAAAGAGAAATTTTTGTTATCTTATTATTGTGAGTTTAAAATCACACTAGTTATCAAGTATATATACATTCAATATATGCTATAAGACTAAACTTTTGCATCAACATGAATCGATTACATGTATTTTAACTCTAAGCTTAATGTTATCATTAAGTCAAATAGGTGGTTATCTAAAAGGATACATTAAAGACTTTTTACATTAAAAAAGAATTATGGAGTGATTTAAAATTTTCAAAATGAAAAATAAATTATTATTAATATAAAAAAAAGATCAAATTATATTTGTGTAAAATATACATATTTGTACACAATTTAATAATTTTTATTAAATAATTGAATTTAAAAATTAACCATTAAATTTAATATTTTAATTATATATATATTATATTTGCAAAATTTTAGATTAATTTAATTTTGTATAATTTATTTTCATACATTAAAATAACATAATATACACTTTTAAAATATATAAAAATATATATTTTTTAGTCTTTTTGAAATTATTTATTTTTAACTAGATCTGATACAAATTAAACTAACAAATAGTTATAATTCAATGGTTAAATTGAAAAAATATATTACATTTTATTTTCTTAATCTACCACTAAATGCATGTTCAGTTAAACGCAAGTAAGATAATTTTAAAATTTCATGCTTTTCACTTTATTAGAGTAAAGTGAAAGGAAGAAGGAAATAATTTTTTAAATTATTTAATCAAAATTAATTTTAATTTAATATCTATATAATTATTTTAAATATAATATTTTTCTTTTTCTCTCCTTATAAATTAAATAAAATATTGTTTAATTTTTTAAAATTTATGTTGCGTCTTACATTTTCTCCTTTTTGTTATTATTATTATTAGAATCAAGCAGCATTTTGAACTCGCAGTTGCAGTTGATAAGGTTAAAAGTTATTGTTTATTTTATAATTGTATGGTTTCTCGTTAAATCATTCTTAAAACTGAATTCTCCCTTAAAGCTTGCAATTAATTTAAAGCAAGTACTTTCACTTTTATGTTTAGATGTTGGCAGTTTATGATCTACTAATATCATTTTCCCAATGTATCTCTGTCCCCTCTGTAATTTTCATTATACTTTCATCCCAAGTCTACTTTTAATGCATCAAACCTTTGTTGGATTTGACACAACCGTATATATAAGAAATTAAGAATTACGTGTTTATTAACATCAACTTTTTAAAATTAATAAAAAATTGTTATGGTTTTAAATAATTTTTTTTAATAAAATAATTATTTTATATAAATATTTATTTGAAACATGAACTTTTAAAGAAATTTATTAATTAAAAAAGTTAAAATAGATTTATTTTAAATATAATATAACTAAATGAAATATAAAGAAAATTATCATATTATTATAATATAAAACTGATACTCTTTTCAATAATTATACATTCACAAATGATTTAAAATTATATTACCTCCGTTTTCATTTATCATTTAAAATTTTATTTATTTATTTGTCTTCTTAAAGTTTCAAGATGACATTGATTATCAATTTGTCATTAAGCCTCTATCAAGAGAAAGAAAGAAATACGAAGGATCAAAACATTAAATAAGAGATATAAATGATAAATTAAAAACTAAAAAAAATAAATTTTTAATATTACAAGATTAAATATAAGAATAAAAAATAATAATAAATCATCCGAGTAGCATTTATTTTTCATTAATTTCTATATCAAAATATCCATACATAAAATACATCATTACACAATTATTTTTAACCAAATATCAAGCTTGTGAAAGTAAACCATTTTAAATTAAGCTTGCAAATTTTAATTCAAATACACGCTATATGAAAGGAGATTGATTAGCAAAATTTACGCACTCAGCGGTACATAATTAGAGTTTGCATTCATGAGTAGCATCCTTGTGAGGGTAGTAGTCCTCTAGCTCAAGATTTTATTTTATTTTCAGTGTACTTTAAACTTGGACAGTATTTGATTTACTTTGTTCCCATTATATGTAAAAGTTATTCTGAATAGTTTGTGTAGAAAGTTTATTTTTAATTAAAAAGTACTTTTATATTTTAAAGTTCATTGAAAGTGCATTTAATATTATTTTTATTAAAAGAGAAAAAAAGAAAAAATGTTGGTGTTGAAGGCCCACACAATCCTCCCACTTTCCAGTAAAGAGTGTGCATAGTACGAGTTACATGGCGCGTAGAGTTGGCTCGTGTGGAAGTAACAGTGAGCAGAAAAACCCCAGAGACGTACAGAATGGAATTGTAAATGGCCGCGATTTCTAGGTTGCCCGCCACGTTAAGTTCTACCTCTAGCTGTAAAAAGTTAAATATAATAATCATTTCCCAACAAAGGAAAAATAAAATTAAATAAAACCATTTAGTCACTGCCAAAAAAAGTTATTGACCCACACATACACATGACTCACCCACCCGTCGCCACCCAGCCTTTTCTTTTCCGTTCATCAGCTTCACATTACCAAATTACCCCCCCATTCATTCATTTCCCATAACAGAACCCAAAAAAGGAGAATTACAAAAAATATCGTTTCCTTTAGTCAAACCAATTTGACCGATTAATGCTAAAGAGCCGAGTATTTTGGGGATCACGTGACACACATCACAATGCTCAACACTGTACCGTATCCTTTCTCATCACCGTTAGATGCTGTCTCATTGGTCCAGATCCCTTATCACCAACGTGTTTACATCGCATGGATGCGGCGAGCCGCATATTTGTGCCTTCTCACTACTTACATTACTCTCTCCTCTTTTTTATTATTTTTCTCTTTTTTTTAAAAAACATTATATGTATTTAACAGCGCGTGATATTGGAAAATTTCCCGTTTCGGCTGTTTGATCCTATAAAAGAGCGATTCGAGTGTTACGGAGTTCTCAGCAACTGAACCCAACCCATGCTCCTTGCTACTTCTAAGCTCTTTACCGGTTCAACTACACATAAGCAGTGGCAGTAGCCTTCACCCGGGCAGAATCTGCACTTTTTTTTTTTTTGCCTTCTATTCTCTCCTCACTTTGAATCCCAAGATATCCTTTCCATTCAAGGAGGCCACTAGAAGTTTCAACGAAAGTCTCCGCCACCAGCAATCACCACCGTCCCAAATACTCCCCCCCCTCCCCCCACCAATCATGTCAAAACCCCTTCTTTTCTCTTTATTCCTATCACCCACAACCGTCTCTACTTCCCTCCGTTTTTAACATTTATTGCTCCCTTTCCTCTTTTCTTTTCCCTTTCAGTCCCCACCTTTAGCAAAAACCTTTCAGTGTTTATCCTAATTACTAAAGCACCAACCTTCTCCTTCACGATTCTCTTTTATTCCAATACCAGTGAAGGGAAGGCCCTATTTGTTTCCTCGATACACTCATTCGAATGAGACACATAATGGAACCCAGCATCCTATGCAAGCACACAGTGCATCACAGCGTTGTCAAGAAACTCCTTTCCCCCAAGAAGACTCTAACTAATTCAATAGAACGTAGAGTAGTCAGGATATCCGTCTCTGATCCAGACGCCACCGACTCTTCCAGCGACGAAGAATCACACTGCTTCCTCCGCCACAGAATGAAGCGCTACGTCAATCAGATTGAAATCGAAACCGCCGCCAAAAACTCCGCCGCTGCCCCTCGTAAGAGACCCGCCGGAGATTCCTCTTCCTCCCGGCGCCCTGCCAAGGCCCTCGCCGCCACCAATGGGAGGAAGTTCCGCGGCGTTCGCCAGAGACCCTGGGGAAAATGGGCGGCGGAGATTCGAGATCCGTCGAGGAGGGTGCGCCTCTGGTTGGGCACCTACGACACTGCAGAAGAAGCCGCCATGGTATACGACAATGCCGCTATCAAGCTTCGTGGCCCTGACGCTTTAACAAACTTCATCACGCCGCCGCAGAGGGAAAAATCATCGCCGGAGGAGGCTGTTTCCGAGCAAAAGCCAGAAATGAAAGTCGAGGTCACCGCGGAAGCTTCGGCGTCCGGTTACGATTCCGGTGACGAGCAGTGTCACAACCTTTCCTCTCCCACTTCGGTGCTCCAATTCCGGAGCAACTCGAGCGAGGAGACAACGGAATCCCAGAAACCGGTGGAGCCGGAGGAAACGAGCGAAGCGGAGGAAACGTGGGAAGTGTTCAGAGAGTGCCAAGGTGAGACGAGTCTCTTCGATGAGACTGGGGAGTTTTTCCCTCTGGAAATGCCTGCGTGTGACGATCTTTTCAATTTCCAAGCCCCAGAGTACCCTCTTTTGTTCGGAGATGAAGCGCCTCAGATGTTGGGCGAAACAAGTCCGCTTTATTTAGACGAAGATTTCAGTGACAACATTGTTCTGGCCGATTCCCTCATAGATTTCGACAAAGCCTGTTCTCCATCGACGTTGTGCCAGGTGGACGATTACTTCCAAGATATTTTGTTAGGCTCCGATCCTTTGGTGGCTCTCTGAGCCTACCAATCGTCGCAGCTTTTGCCAATTGCCGTCGTTGTTGCCCTCCACGGCAGATTTTGGTCCCGGTGGCAGATCAAATAAATAAATTAAGTCTTTTCAAAAAAATTATATATATTTTTAGTTTTATTTGCATATTTATTTATTTGTTTTAGATACTCCGTTACAAATAGCTAACGGGGATGAGTTAAGAGTTAAGCGTGAAGTTTTGTTTAAATTTTACTTGTAATACCCTTTGCCTAATAAGTTAGGGTGGTTGAGACTTGAGAGTTGCGAGTGGAGAGTTGAGAATGTAATGTAAATTTGTCCAAATGTTAATCCATGTGTAATGGGGTTGTCTCCAATTTGATGTTCTTCACCATGCTTAAAGAGGAGGTTGAGCAAGTTAATTTGCATTTTTGTTGAGGAAATTAAGAAATGTGATATGAATTGACGGAAGGGTGAAGGGGCGCTGATTGCGGTTTTGGCCGGTCAGTCGGTTGGGTGCGGTGAGGGGCAGAGAGATACCAGTTGTTTTTTTATGTGATAATGTGAATTTGAGACTTGACTTTAATTAATTGATTTTGTCTAATGTTGTTTTGAAAAACAGAATGTTTAAAACGTTAGTAGCGCACGCGGGGCGAACATAAAATCTTTGGGTCTTTAGGGGCAATGTAAGTGCCATGCCGCAAAGAAAAAAGTCTAGAGAGAAAGGAGTGTGTGTGTATATGTAGTGTGTACATCAAAAGGTGAACTGATTAAGAGTGTATCAATTGTCGGGATTAGACTTTTCCACTGCACGAGACTCGTTAAACTTCACTCCCAAGAAAAAAACATAAGAATATCAACCACTCAAAATCCACCGTTTTCCATTTACTGTGCCTGTCAGTTAAAATGTCAAATAATTAAGAGCTAATTAACATTCATTTCCGGCCTCCAAATTAAGTTATATTTTACCTCACTTTCTCTTCCTTTTGTAAGTAACTTAAGGGTGGACCCCTAATTAATAGTCCCGAAATAAAATATAATTATTACCATTTCTCATATTAACGAAAAAATAAATTTCCAAAAAAACTTAAATAAATAAGAAAACTGCATTCACCAAATTCAATATGATAAAAAAAATAATTCATTTTGGGTTCATAAAAGGCGGCAATATTACCAATTTGATAAGATTTTACAATCGAAGGCTTTAAATTATTTCAAAAATGGATATTTAGTTATTTTTTTCTTTTAATATAAAATTTCTCACTTGTGAGCTTGTCTATCTATCCTTATGTTATAAATCTAGATATTTATTTTCAATTGAGAGGATTTTTATAGGTTCTTTTTATTTAATTAATTCATTTAGTTTTTTCTGCATTAAATATTAATTTTTTATTTGTAATTTTTTATCCTTCTAAATACTCTTGCCTGGATTTAATTAAGTTTAATTTAAATTTTAAATATTGATATATTATATCTAATTAAAAAATTTAGTAAAATTATGTTTTGATGATAATTACAAATTAGAAAACATTGATATCAATTTTTAGAATTGATTTCAAACATGTACGTTTTAATGATAATGGTTACAAGTACGTTTTTTTTTACTACAATACTAAATGGTGTAAATTGATTTCCTCGTCATGCTATTACTTCATATTGATTATGTATTATTAAAATAAATATTTAAGAAAAAAATAAATATATTGTTTAATTTTTTAAAAATAAAAAATATTATTAACAATAATGAATAATTTATTACATTAAATAATGTATAGTTAAAAAATAAATTATAAAATGTAAAATTAAATTTAAATTTAAAAACTATATATTTAATATAAATAATTAATAACAGAATAAAAATATATAATAATCAAAAAAATATTTTCATCTAAAATAAATTTTAAATTTAATATAGAGAAGTAAATTAACGGATTTTTTCTCTTCAAAATTACGTGGAGTGTTTCAAAGAACTTGTTCATTCCTTTTTTTTATAACTTTCTTTTGGTCAACCGATAAAAAATGCAAAAATGGGGTTGAAAAGTCAGTTAAACAGCTGTCCAAAGAATGATGGAGAGATGAATCCTATAATTTTCTTCTTCTTTTTGAATTTCTGACCAATTGATATGACACAATATGAAAGACGAATCTAACTGATATGACGCAAAAGCTACTCCAAATAATAGAATATTTCTGTATTTATAAAATTACACGATCCAAATGATTTTTCAAATATTAAATTACATTCATTTTTTCATTCTATTAAATTAAATTAAATTTGTAAATATTAAACGATCATTAAATTTGTACATATTTTTATATTTTAAGAAATTAATTAATAAGAATTAAAATTTAATATAATAATATTCAATCTTTAAACAATAATTTAATGATAAACATGTATAGAAGGTAATATACTAATATCTTAATATTTAAAATAAAATTTGCAATTACATTAAAATTTAAGCTCTGTTTATTTTACCGTTAAAAGCTCGCTAGAATTAAATTCACTCATATATAAAAATAATCGATTTCACTTTTCGCATTTAAAAAATTGTAATTTTATTTTTAACTATTGATTCTGATTTTCAGAAATCGACTTTGGCTCTATACTTGAAAAATAAACAAACACTTAATAGGAAAAAAAATTGTCATTTTTTATGGTTATATTTAATTTGAGGTTATTCTGGTACAATGGAAAAAAAAATAATTCCAGTTCAAATAAGATATGTTAAAATAAATTAAAAAAAAACGTTAATATTTATAGGAGTAGATCAATTCTCAACTTGAATGTTGTCTAAAAGTAGCAATGCAAAGATTTTGAAGAAAAAAAATATAAATTACAATGTGAAATATAAAGTATTTTTCTCGTAAGAAAAAGCTGAGAAACTACTTGTACATGCAGGGGGAAACTTGCTTGAGTACAAGACAAAAGAGGAAGTTTAGATTGACACAATTGAAGATTCCTAGTATCTATCTACTGTTCCTATGAGGGATTGAATTGTTTCGTTTGCATATATATATATATATATATATATATATATATACATATTCACTTCATTAAACAAAAACAGATTTTTAATAAAAAATGCCTATATATTTTAAGGTTGTATTTGATTAGAAAGGAAAAAGTACTTTAGAGCAGAAGAATGATACCTGCGCCCGTATAAAAAGGACAGAGACAGAACAACTTTCTTGAAATACCGTAGCACAAAGCTAACAATTATCTATTATCGTTTAAAATTTTGTATGTATTAGTATTTTGACTAATTAAAATAAAAAAATTACAATGAAACAAAAAAGTTTTAAATTATTTATAACGGATAGTTTATTTAAATGCTAATATACTTTAATATTATTTAACAGTTTTTCGATTATCATACAGTTATCATGAGTGAAAACTTTTTTAAAATAGAAAATTCTAATTAATGTGGCTTTTTTATATGAAAAATACCGACATATGAATTTTTTTTAAAAAAAAGATGGAAATATAAAAAAAAAACTTTAAGAGTAAAAATTGTTATTGCAGATCTTTGGTATTTTTTTAAAAAAATCATCAATACTAATTTCTATAAATTAAAATTTTTAATAATTTTTTGATAATCTCCAAATAATTTTTTAAGCTGTTTCACCTCTAGATCTTTATATCTCACCAAATTTTTTTGTAATTTTTTAAAAATTTCATATTTTCATATATATTGTTTTTTAGATACAACGTTAAAGTAAAAACATCCAATTAACATAGACATATTTAAACAATTTTAGTTTTTTTTTCAGAGTTTTCCTTTGAAGCATTATATTTTCCAGTAAAGATAAAAGATAATGGCTCGTGACAAATCAAGGAAGTGACACCTAATTTAATAAATGTGTTCTCAAAGAAAAAAAAACAAATTACATTATTTAATTCCTCTGCCTAAGTCGAACATTTATATGATGATTTGAATTTAATCATCAGAACATGTATGTATGTACAGTATTTCTTTCACCCTCGAAATTACCATTGCATATCTGGTTGTATGCTTTTAAATGAACTTTCTTCCTGAAAAATAAGTGTTAAAGCATTTCCCTTTTCTTGAGCACGTATGAGGAATCCTTTCTCTCTTTGCAGGAAATATCCTTTACGCAATTTGCATTAATTGACATTTGACAAAGCTTAATACATGTTGTGGCGATGCTGCCATAGGAAAGAAGTAGTATCTAACTATCTATGTCATGGGTACAGTGCTATGCGTGGTGGGAGAGAGGCCATGTCTCGTGAGATTGTGAGCATATATAAAAGAACTTAATTGCTTAACTATTACTCCTTAACATGTGTGTGTGTATATAGAGGGAGAGAGATAAGGATAGAAAGAACAGAATCAATAGAAAAAAGGGAATATGGGATAAGCTCCAGAGAATGATTATGTCGCAACTCGGAAGCAAGATTAAAATTCCATTTTGTTCTCTTCATGGATGGTACAATTCAAATTGGCATTATGATTAGCCTCACGCGCTCTATCAGTTACTCCACTCACTCACTCACCTGAAGCTCAGAAATATCTGTCTATATATTTTCTCCCATGAAGAATCCATTATCATAATTGTGTTTTCAAGTTGATGTGTTAAGCTGTTAATTAATTCAACATGTTTAATTAATTTGATGTAATAATCTTTTAGGCCATTTGATGAAGTTGCGAAATGGGCTCCATGGGGCGATACACACTGTAAAAGGCATTGCTTTAGAATAGGTGGTCAAATTTACATGAAGCTGAGTATGTGGACATAATCGATCAAAAGCTCTTTTCCACCATTGTGGTTGGTTATTGAGAAGCTGGGCTATTTTTCTGTGGTGATTGCCGGTTGGTAAAAGGAAAAATCGGGCTGTCTATGTATCATGCATATATATATATATATATATATATATATATATATATATATATATATATGCGTACTTATGTGATTGCTTTGCATGAGTGTCCCATGGCATGTGACATCTCTGGAAATGCCCACCTGCAGGTTCTTCTATTTATATTGTATCAACATTGCCCACTACTCAG